GATGGAGATACCTCCAGAAGATCTTTTGTTGTAGAAGATTGTTTGTTTGACCCAGCTCTCATTGAGTAGCAGGTTGTTCAGTTTCCATGTGTGTGTCAGCTTTTTGCTTTTTCTGTAGTTGTTGAGGTCCAGCTTTAGTCTATGGTAGTCAGACAGGATACAAGGGATTATTTCAATCTTTTTGCATCTGTTGAGGCTTGCTTTGTGACCAACTATATGGTCTATTTTGGAAAAGTTTCCATCAGGTGCTGAGAAGAAAGTAAATTCTTTTGTGTTTGTGTGAAAGGTTCTGTAGATGTCTGTTAGGTCCATTTGATTCATGAACTCTGTCAAAGTCATTGTTTCTTTGTTTAATTTCTGTTTTGTTGACCTGTCCTTTTTTGAGAGTGGGGTGTTGAAGTCTCCCAATTTTAATGTGTGGGAATCTACGTGTGGTTTCAGTTTTATTAATGTTTCTTTTACAAATGTGGGTGCTCTGGTATTTGGGGCATAGATGTTCAGAATTGTGATGTCTTCTTGGTAGAATTTTCCCTTGATGAATATGAAGTGTCCTTCCCCATCTCTTTTGATTAATTTTGGTTGAAAAAATATATATTAGATATTAGAATGGCTACTTCTGCTTGCTTCTTGGGTCCATTTGCTTGGAAAACTGTCTTCCAGCCCTTTACTTTCAGGTAATGTTTATCTTTGTGACTTAGGTGTGTTTCTTGTATGCAAGAATTGTTGGATCTTGTTTACGTATCCATTCTGTTAATCTGTGTCTTTTTATTGGAGAATTGAGTCCATTGATGTTGAGGGAGATTAATGACCAGTGGCTGTTAGATCCTTTGATTTTGATGTTGACTATGGTACTGTGTTTGTGTGCTTGGCTACTTTTAGTTTTGCTGTAGTGAGGTTATTTATTTCCTGTATTTTCCTGAATGTAGTTAGCTTTCCTGGGTTGTATTTTTCCTTCTAGTATCTTCTGTAACAATGGATTTGTGTGTAGGGATTGTTGAAATTTGTTTATGTTGTTGAATATCTTGTTTTCTCCAACTATGATGAACGAGAGTTTTTCTGGGCATAGTAGCCTGGGCTGACATATGTGTTCTCTTAGGGTCTGCATTATATCTGTCCAGGCCCTTCTGGCTTTCATAGTCTCTGTTGAGAAGTCAGGTGTGATTCTGATGGGTTTGCCATTGTATGTTACTTGGCCCTTTTCCCTTGCAGCTTTTAGTATTTTTTCTTTGTTCTGTATACTTACTGTTTTAATTATTATGTGGCAGGAGGATTTTCTTTTCTGGTCTAATTTGTTGGGTGTTTTGTAGTCCTCTGTGTTCTCATAGACCTCTCCTTGAAAGTGGGGAAATTTTCTTCTATAATTTTGTTGAAAATATTTTCTGGGCCTTGGAGGAGGGAATCTTCTTTTTCCTCTATTCCTATTATTTTTGGCTTTTGTTTTTTCATGTTGTCTTGTATTTCTTGGACAGCCTGTGTCAGGAATTTTTTAGATTTAACATTTTCTTTGATGGATACATCAATTTCTTCCATTGTATCTTCCACACCTGAGATTCTTTCTTCCATGTCTTGTAGTCTGTTGGTTATGCATACCTCTGTAGTTCCTGTTTTCTTCCCTAAGTTCTTCCTCTCCATGATTTTCTCCATTTGTGTTTTCTTTAATTTTTCCAATTCTATCTTCAAATCTTGAGCCATTTTGTTGATTTCCTTCACCTGTCTGACTGTATTTTCTTGTTTTTCCTTCAATTCTTTCAACTGTTTGTTTGAACATTCCTCTGTTTCTTTTATTTCTTTCAGTGATTTAATTATTTCCTCTCTAAAGGCCACAAACTGCTTGATTGTGTCTTCCTGTATTTCTTCATGGGTGGCCATAATTTCTTTATCTTTACCTTCCTGTATCTCTTTATAGATGGCCATATCTCTTTGCCTTTATCTTCCTCCATTTCATTGAAGATGGCCATAATCTGTTTGACTTTATCTTCCTCTAATTTTTTATGCATTTTATTTGTTTCCTCTATTATCCTCTTCATAGCATAGATGTAAGGTCATCTTTTTGAATTTCATTTATGCTTGAGTGTCCAGGGCTCCTTGCCCCTGGATAACTGGGTTCTGGAGATGCCATATTGCTTTGGTTTTTGTTGGTTTAACCTTTACCCTGGCCTCTACCCATTGGGCTATCTTACATGTTGGGTGTTAGTTTCTGGCACTTCCTGGAATCTTGTGGTGGGTAGAATCCCCTTTGGCAGGAAGATGATTTTTCTTCAAGGATGCTTTCTCAGCTTTTTGGATATGGTCACTGAATGGCCGGTGTTTCTCAGGAATTGCCACAGCTCACCTCAGGCGTATAGACCTGTGGTCTTTGTTAGTCAGGGGGGGCCTATCCTCACCCTTAAAAGTCCTGGAGACAGCTGCTGGGTTTCTTGCTCTGAATTTAGTGAGCTGCTGCTGTTGTTCTTACACTGTTTTCTAGGCACAGCCCTCTTGAAGAACATGGGCGCCCATTGGTTTGGTCAGTTTAGTTAGGGATATTTGGTTGCCCCTTGGAGCAGTATCTGGGGGCTGATCTCAGGGATCCCAGGCTTCTGTAGGTCTGAGGTTGGAACTCTGCGCCCCAGTACCCATTCGGTAATCAGTGGCAGGTGAGCACAGCTCTCATGCATGCAGCAGGAGGCTAGAGCCTGGAGCCTGTGGGGACCCAAAAACTTTTCTGCAGCTGGGTGTCCTGAGGTCAGACCAGATGTTTTCCCACACCTGTGGGGTTTCCTCCCAACAGGGAGACCCAGTCTGTATTGTTTGGGGGTCCACAGTTCCATGTGGGATGGCATGTAGAACACACAGGAACATGGGAGTGGTGTCTACAAGCTGGTGACTGGGCGCCTGTAGAAATCTGGGAACTTTTCTAGAAAACTTTTCTTTGTGTGGTGGGGTCGGCTGAGTGCTCTAAGCTTGGAACAACTGTTTCCCTCACTATGGGGTTTTCTCCTGACAGTGGAGTCCAGCTCGCAGCAGGTTTCTGGGTTGGTGGTTGGGCACCCACTGGTCCCCAGGACCTTTTCCGGGGATTGACTGGGTGACCTATGGTCGGTCCCATTTGCTTCCTTCCTGGTGGGGTTTTCTCAAGGCCAGTCTCTGGTGTTTTGGTGCCCATAGTTCAGACTGGGAAGGTGATCAGGACACGCAGGTATGTGGCTCTGGGCTGGCAACCGAGTGCTTGCTGGGACCCAGGTACTCTTCCAGGTTTTAGCTGGGTGACCTGAGAATGGACCCAATTGATTCCAACACTGCACGGTTTCCTCTCACCTGGGAAACACAGTTGTTGGTGTTTTAAGGCCCAGAGTTCAGTCTCTTGGTCACTGTGCCGACACTACTGTCCTACTCCTCAGACACAGCCTCCTCCCAGCTCTCCCTCTCCGGCTCTTTCAAGTCTTTCTTCCTGTCTTCCACAAGATTCCCCAAGCTCTGCCTAATGTTTGGTTGTGAATTTCTGCATCTGTTTCTATCAGCTGCTGGGTGAAGCCTCTGAGATGACTGTTATGTTACCCTCCTGTTTGTAAGTATAGCAGCATATTATTAACATTGTTGGCAGAAGCTCTCTCATGGCATGGGAATTAATTTGGGACAATCATTGATTGGCCATTCCCTCAATTTCTGCTCCCTCTTTATCTTTGCACATCTTTGTAGGCATGAAAAATTGTGGATCAAAAGTTTTGTGGCTGGGTTGATGTCTTTATCCCTCCAATGGAAGGCTTGCCTGGTTGGAGGTGGCTTTTCAGGTTCTATATCCTCCATTGCGAGGAGTCATAGCTATGGTCACCCTGATAGATTCCTGGGAGTTTTTATTGTCTTAGGTTTATAGTTTCTCCTAGAGATGCCTTCCTAATGATTCCAGTTCTCACAGTTCTGTCTTCTTACACTTGATCCCTCCTGTTTCCCTCCCTACCCTTGCTTCCATCCAGTTCCATCACTCCCTCCACCCACAATGTCTAGTTTATTTTCCCTTCTCAGTAAATTTCAAACATCTAGAAAATCTTTAATATCTTTATTTCTCTCTTGACCAGTGTTCATTGAGTAGAGAGTTGTCAGTTTCTATGAGTTTGTAGACTTTCTGTTGTTGAAGTCAAGCTTTAATCCATGGTGGTCTGATCAGAGACAAAAAGTTATTTCAGTTTTCTTATTCTGTTGTGGCTTGTATTACATTGTCAGTTTTGGAGACGTTCTCAGGAGGTGTTGAGAAGAAGGTATATTCCTTCGTGTTTGGGTTAAATGTTCTATAGATATCTGTTAGTTCCATTTGTTGCATACAACTGGTTATTTTATTATTTCTCTGTTTAGTTTCTGTCTTGATGTCCTGACCACTGGTGAGAGTGAGGTTCTTAAGTCTTCCACTATTGATGTGTAGGGCTCATTATGTGATTAGTAATGTTTCTTTTACGAATGTGGGTACCCTTGCAGTTGAGGCATAGATGTTCAGAACTGAGATCCCGTTTTGGTGGACTTTTCCTTTGATGACTATGAAGTGTACTTTCTCATCTCTTTTGATTAATTTTGGTTGAAAGTCTATTTTTATTGGATATTAGAATAGCTGCTGCAGCTTGCTGTTTGGGTTAATTTGCTTGGAAAAACTTTTCCTGCCCTTTACTCTGAGGAATGTTTATCTTTCTTGCTGAGGTATGTTTCTTGTATACAGCAGGATGATGGATTCTCTTTTTGTATTCATCCATTCTGTTGATCTTTTTATTAGAGAATTGAGTCCATCGATGTTGAGAGGAATTAATGACCAGCGATTGCTAATTTCTGTTATTTTAATGTTGGTGGTGGGAGAAACACACAGAGAGAAACAGAGAGCCTATCCTTTTTTTTTTTAATAGTGGTTTTCTTTTTTTATTTTTATTATTAGTTACATTTTATTAACTCTGTATCCCAGATATATCCCACTCCCTCATTCCCTCCCAATCCCACCCTCCTTTCCTCAGCTTCTCCCTGCCCCTTTCCAAGTCCACTGATTGGGAAGGACCTCCTTCCCTCTAATCTGACCCTGTTTTATCAGGTATCTTCAGGACTGGCTGCAAAGTCCTCCTCTGTGGCCTAGCAGGACTGCTCCTCCCTTGGGGGTTGGGGAGGTCAAAGAGCCAGCCATTGAGTTCCTGTTAGAAATAGTTCTTGTTCCCTTTACTATGGTTACTGGGCTACCACGGGCTACATCCGAGCAGATATCTCGTATTTTCTTGGGTTTTGTTAACATCCTTGGGTTGGAGTTTTCCTTCTAGTATCTTCTTTAGGGCTGTATTTATTGAAAGATATTGTTGGGGGTTAGTCTGCTGCTATGTATTCTAACACTAATTACTAGTCCCAAGATCTGGCTACCTAGGTGAGTGCATTTTCACTCATACCAAGTGATGTTGTATGTGTGTGACTTTGTGTAACTTTGCTTTCCAATATTCTCTAATTGGTTAATACAGTTGCTGAAACCTCTAACTGGGAATGAGAGAAGTAGTCAGAGCTTAGTTTCCCAGGCTGTAAGTAAGATGAGGACCATGAGGTGGAGAGAGAAGATGTGGCAGAAGAGAGGAAGCAGAAGATGTAGAGGCAAGAGAAGAAGTGGAGCATAAAGGACTATGAGCACCAGGCCATGAGGGCTGGCCTCATGGAACAGAAGCAGCCCAGGCACCAGAAGCAGCCCAGCTAGTAGCTTGGGTGTGTAGCTGGGAAAGAGCAAAACAGCTTAGAGGGTTGATACTTGTCCAGTTATGGTGCCTTAAAGCCTTTGTAAAACAAAAAGTTCTTTGTCTCCATTATTTGGGAACTAGCTGGGGTAGAGAAACACCTTAGAGACTAATATTAATTCCACAGCAGGATTGGTGAATAGATATTGTTTAATTTTTTTTTTTATCATGGAATATCTTGTTTTTCTCCATCTATAGAGGTTAAAAATTTTGCTGGGCATAGTAGTTTGGGTTGACATATGTGGTCTGTTAGATCTGCAATATATCTGCCCAGCCCCTTCTGGCTTTTAGAGTCTCTTTTGAGATGTGATGTATAATTCTCCCAGGTCTACCTTTATATGTTACTTGGCCTTTTTTTTTTCTTTGCTGCTTTTAATATTCTTTCTTTGTTCTGTACATTCAGTGTTTTAGTTAGTTATTACATACCAGGAAGATTTTCTTTTTTGCTCCAATCTCTTGTTCTGTAAACTTCTTGTGCATTTTTGGCATCTCTTTCTTTAGGTTAGGGAAATTTTCTTCTATGATTTTGTTAAAAATATTTTCTGGGCCTCTGATCTGGGAATCATCTTCTTTTAATTCTATAATTCTTAGGTTTCATGTTTTCATAGTGTCCCAAATTTTCTGGATGGTTTGCATCAGAAACTTTTTAGATTTAATATTTTCTTTGAATTTTTTAAGCCTGTGAGTCTCTCTTCCACCTCTTGTATTTTGTTGGTGATGCTTGTGTCAGTAGTTTCTGTTCTCTTATCTAGGTTTTCCATCTCCATAATTCCCTCAATTTGCAATTTCTTTATGGCTTCTAATTGCATTTTCAGGTCTTGATACATTTTTATTCATTTTCTTCACCTGTTTGATTGTATTTTTCTGTATTTCTTTAAGAGATTTATTCATTTCTTCCTTAAACATCTGTGTCATCTGCATAAGATTGTATTTAGGATCACTTTCTTGTGCTTCAGCTGTGCTTGGATATCCAGGGCTTGTTTTAGTAGGATAGCTGGGCTCTAGTGATAACATATTTTCTTGGCTCTTGTTGATTGTATATTTATGCTGGTCTTTAGCGATCTGGTTGTTTCTGGTGCTGGTAGGCCTCCAAGAATGTAGGCAGAGTTGTGGGCAAGGAAATGGAGTTCAGAGTAGCAGGTACAGATTGCTGCTGTTGAGTGTGTTTTAGGGGGACTTGGCATGGAGGGGATTGTGGGAAGGGGTCTCATCTGGTTGTCCCTGGTAGCCAGTAGACCTCTGGGAATGCAGGTAGAGAGGTGGGCTAGAAAATGGAGTGCACAGGGGACAGGGCACAGCTCACTCCTGCTGGGTTTGTCCCAGGGACAAGTTTCTCAGACTTGCTGGATATTTTGATATTGAAATTATCATTCTTAGAGTCATTTCAAAATTGTTGGAAATTCTTTTCTAATTCCAAGGCAAAATTTATTGATTTCTTTATGCTTTTATTCATTTGAGAACTTCAAACAACGCATTTTCATCATATTGTTTCCACTACCTCAACTCCTCCCAGATTCCCCTTTACCACCAAACTTCATGTTTTCTCCTCTTTCTTTAAAAAGATAATTCAAAACAAAAATAAAAACAACACAGAGAAAAGAGAAAAAAGAAATCCAGTGCCACTCCATTGGAAAAAACTGAGCTTTCCCTTTCCCAGCAGCTATCAATAGAAAATAGATTAACTAAGAGTAGGATTTCATGCCAACCTCCTCTTTTTCATGCTGGGGTTTTGTCTTGTTTGAGCTTGTCTGTAGGCCTTGGGCACGCGGTCACAGTGTCTGTAGGTAAATATGTGTATCAGTCTTGTGAATGGAACATACTGTTTCCCTGGAGTCATCTACCCATTCTGGCTCTTACAATCTTTCTACCTCTCTGAGCCTTCAGTGGAGGGAGGCTTATTAAGCATTTTAAGCACAGAAAGCTGGTGGGATTTCCAGGACTGTTTTGATACCTACAAAACAAACGGGAGATGAAAGCTTAGACTTTTCAGTGACTTAATATAATATATAACACTTAATGACTCATAATGGAAGACCAGAAAAAAATAAGATTTAAATATTTCATAGTATAGTATATTTTTATTTGCAGAGTTTAGCAACCTCTCCAAGTACCTAGAGACTGTGCTACCAGTAAAATGATATTTAAAGCAATGCAAACCTCAGTTTTTATAATTGAGAAACCATTTTTTTAATGATAATAAATTTAATATTTTCTAGTACTATCATAGGCCCTATACATGCAATTAAATCAAGACAACTCTTCCTATTTGGATTTTACTAAAACACAATAAGGCATTTAAATAAATGAATGCATGAAATATTTTGACAAACCCACACAAGTAGCCAACCATATTTCAAAACCAATGGGTCAGGGCACATCCAGTGTTCATAACCACTTGTTATTAAGCATAACTTTTCAGACAATTAGAACTAATTGCAATAACTTATGGGAATTTTTCTGATCTTTATAACTGTAAAATTGGGTCTTCTATTTTTACCATTCATAAAGACAGCAAAATATCCACATTCTGGCTTTGTTTTTCTTCCAATGTGCTCCCTCTGGGGTGAAAGAAAGCACTGCCTATGAAGTTCTCTTAACAAGGAGATAGCTCAACACCATTCTAAGTATTGAAAAAATTACAACTGCTTACCAAACTATGGGTGAATGAAATCATAAGAGCACCTCAAATAAATCCACAATTACATAAGTGAAATACCCACATTCATAAACTTCATGTCCATAGGTCCTCTAAGTTTAATGTGAAAACGGCTTTCCCTACATCATCTTTGACCAAAATTTTACCATTTGTAAGAAATTTTCAGTACACTTATCATTTTTCAGTAGTATCAGTGTACAGGATTTTAATTATATTTAAATATAGGTATAAATCTTTACATGATTTTAAATATATTCTTTCCATTTTAAATTTTTTTTAAATATTAGTTGCAGTTTATTAACTTTGTATCCCAGTTGGAGTCTGCTCCCTCATTCTCTCCCAATTCCACCCTCCCTCTCTCATCTCCACCCTGCCCCTGAGAAACCATTTTAATAGCAAATTAATACTTTAAAAATGTTCCCCAAACTTTCTCACTGAAAGAGCCACCTACACCAAATATTTAAAACATTATAATGAGCATATAATACATCAATTGACAGCAGAAAGGTAAGCCAGAAAAAATTATAGTGTCTGATAAAAGGGAGACTGTAACACTCTGGTAAAGGGAGACTGTAATACTCTGGTACCTGATTTATATTTCTTGCAGCCACTAACACAGCTATCCAAACCATTGCAAAGATTGGCTCCACAGAGACTGTATTCATTTTTTCTGAAAGATATATCAAACAGCATTGGTAATGAGCCATTTTTACCACCAAGATTTGTTTAAAGAAACAGATACAGAAACAGTGTGGCAGGTGCCCATAATGTATTAAGGTTTAATTGAGGAGAGGGATGGGATGGTAAAGGATAGTGTGTGTGTGTGTGTGTGTGTGTGTGTGTGTGTGTGTGTGTGTGTG